TTTGAAGCCGATAAAAGGAGCCTATCTCCACCTATCACACGGAAGCCAAGTTTGAGAATGGACTATGTAGCTTGCGCACAGACAGCACCAGAAAAAGCCCAGAATACGCCTAAAAAAAAATTAAAAAGCGTTTGGAATACAAATTCAACACTATTTCACACATTTTTTTTTGTTCAAATCTGTACCTATACATTTCAGTTTCACTCTCCACCGTCGTATAATTTTTTGGCACTTTTTTTTTTGATCTTTTGAAGACAGGATTTGGTTATCCGAGCCATACCAGGAGGATGGGAAGGGTTCAACTTGTTATAGGGCACGTGAATTGCCAGTTATTCAAAAATTTTGGGACTCGTTACTGACACAAATATTGAAAATCTGAGCTGATTTGGGTGGACTTCTCAGTTATAAGCAAAATAAAAACGGGAAGTTGGAGGAACAAGAAAAAAAAATCAGCCATCTTTAAAGTACCCTTTCGGGGAAAATTTTAAAAGACACGAAAAAATAAGAACGCCCCAAACTATTTTATCGATTACTATTTTTTTTATTAAATTTTCATCATTACTGGGTTTCCCGTCTTCTGCCTGTTATCTTGATTTAAAAAAATTGAGAGAGTGAAATGAACCCTTAAGAGGGCACCTTGAGTATGGGGTGTGGTCAGTAAGGGCTCAAGGGGGAAGGGGAAGAGGCATGGACCATTAACCCCATCAATAGCGAGAGACATGGGTGGCCCTTACGGGGGTTTAAAGAAAAGTGGTCCCCCGTCTGGTCAGCACCAAGATGAAACTCACGTCTGGCCAGCACCAAGATGAATTTACGCGGCCCCAAGTGAAATTCAGTTGTCACACCCAAAATGAAATTCACGTTTGGGCCCCAAAAAAATAGGCATTACGTTGGTCAGCACCAAAATGAAACTCACGTCTGCTCAGCACCCAAACAGGATCACGATGTCAGAAATACAGAACACTGACCCACTAAGAATCACCACAAACTTGCTAAGGTCCTTCAGAACCCTAAAACCCACTACTAACATTTAAACCCCCTACAAAAAACCTACAAATCACTTCAACCCCCCTCAGAATCACTACAAACATTACAGACCCCCTACTGAATATACAGACTCACTGCAGAATCACTACCGCCCCCTACTGAATCACTTCAGACCCTTTCAGAATCATACCGGTGAGCGGTAGCCCACCTGCACCTGACTCACTACAAAACCACTACAGAACCATATTCCCCACCCACAAAAACGACCTACAGTATTACAGAATCACTACAGAATGGCTACAGAAGTTTCGAACCACTACAAATCTGCCACAACCAGCAGACCCTAACAGAACCCTTCAGAACCACCAGACCAACTACAGAAATACCAGAGATCCACTTCAGAACCACCAGTCTTGCTACAGAACCAGTAAAAACCCACTACAAAACTACTGATATTAAAAAGCCCTATAAAATTGGTAAAAAGCTCTACAAAACCTCTGAAGAGCCCTACAGTCCCATAACAGAATAAAGAATAATTACAATCCCACAACTTAATTACCCACCACAAAACCATTGCAGAACACTCGGACCACAACAGACCCACTACACTCGCTACAGAACCACCTACCCACTCCAAAACTACTGCAGTCTCACTACAGAACCACTACAGCCTCACTATAGAACCACAGGACTCGCTACAGAACCACCACAGAACTACTGAAAACCCACTAGACACTTCAGAATCACTACAGACCCGTTAAAAAAACACTACAGAAGCAACAGAACCACTCAGGCTCATCACAAAACCACTGTTGACCCACTACAATGGATCTACAACCCATTATAGATCCACTACAGAACCAGTGATGACTCACTACAGACCATCCATGGAACCAGTACAGACCCAATGAAGATCCACTACAGAACAATTACAAACCCACTACAGAGCCATTACATACCCAATACAGAAACCATTACAGTACTACCAAACCACTCAGACCCACTGCATATCAAGAGCCTTGTAATATAAAGGACTCCCCTTGAAGATTATTCATTATTTTTATCATTCACGGAACACTAAACCCAAATATCACTCCTGGAAAATGAGAGGCAATCTAAGTTTGATCCAAGAAAGGCAGAGCCTGGTCCAACTTTTTTGGATCAGAAATCCCTCACCAGCATCAGGCACCTGCCATGAGGAGTGTTGAAGGAGATTCATGGAAAATCTATCATTAAAAAAACATTCTTCTGAAAAAATCTAGCTGATATATGTAACATTTCATTACAATTACTGTATAGCCTAAATTAAATACCAAGCAATGACATTAAAAAAAAGTGAGTGCCAAGGGAGTTGGCAGGTAGAAAGGATGTGGCTGGTTAGGGGGGGGGGGGGTTAAAGGCTACTGACTACATTAGGGTCATTAAGATTCCATGTTATGTTCAAAATTAGATGATCATAACAGATGGATGGTGCGAACTATTTTTGGAGAAATTAAATTCTGTGAGAAATGATTTATAAATGAATTTAAGTATCTTGAGTCTCACTGCACTGACTTGAACTGAATTTCAGAAGCAAAGTTCGAATTTGAAAGCATTCTAACTGTATTTATTTGGATAAAGCCACTCACAATGAGCCATCAAATCAATCTGGTAACTGAAGCAAGCAGTGCTACACTTCATGTTGAAGAGGAATCATATCAAAAGCGTCATCAATGACAATGAACAGATACGAGTTATTTTTTGTTATTAACATATTAGCCGTTTCCCACCAAGGCAAGGTGGCCAAAAAAAGAAAAACTTTCATCATCATTCACACCATCACTGTCTTGCCAGAGGCACACTTTTACTAGTTATAAAACTGCAATATTAACACCCCTCCTTCATTAACACCCATCCTTCAGAGTGCAGGCCCTGTACTTCCCACCTCCATGACTCAAGTCTGGCCTGCCAGTTTCCCTGAATTCCTTCATAAATTTACCCTGCTCACACTCCAACAGCACGTCCAGTCCTAAAAACCATTTGTCTCCATTTGCTCCTAACACGCTCATGCATGCTTGCTGAAGTCCAAGCCCCTCGGACACAAAGCCTCCTTTACCCCTCCTAATATTTCCTCAGAGTTGCAAATTACTTTGTAATGGATACCATGCAGCATTACAGAATTCATGTTTTCTTTGTCATCAATGATTTTATTCTTATATGTTGATTTGGACACCATATCCTTATTTTACTATAGTATTAACTTTCTTACAATGATGGTCCCAATAACAGTTTTTTAATGCTTGCTGTAAACTTAGATATGTTAAGTCACATTTGGTTGGTTTAGGTTACAAAAACCTACAAAACATATATCTAACAATAAGGAAATTAAAAAAAAAAGATAATACATCTGCCAACAAAGTGGCCAAAAATGTACAGAATATACTCAAATATGTATGACTATCACTTGCAGTGTGAGAATAGGCCAATTTGAACCACAACATTTAACCCTTAAACTGTAAAAGGATAGAAGCCACAACAGTTCTGCAGTGGGTAGTTAAAAAGAAAGCTTGCAATTATAGAGCTCTGAAAATGAGTTTGATATATTAAAGCCTGGTCATGATGGAAGACAAAAGCTAATTTTTTTTTCAATTTGTTTTCACTATGAATTTGCACTATTTACAAGTTTCACATATTAGATATGATTCAGTATGTGGTAATTCACAAAGCATGAACAAATACAGTGCAACATCCTACATCTTGCAGCATTGTTACAGCATTAGTGTGTGTTTGTGTTGTCTTGGTTTTCTGAATGAAAGACTGCACAAATAACATAGTTTATCTGGGCATTTTTCTCTCTCCTTTGATGCCAGATATGATACTGGACTTATGTCTCTCATGATGCATCGCAAAGATTTTCTTCTATGAGGAAACAGGATGCACTTGACATCAAGCTGTTTGAAGGCCTAAAATGATTTCTGTGTGAGCCAGTTAGACATCTACTGTATATATATGTACATTGATAACAGTTTAAGGGTTAATATGCATTCTTCTTAGGTTCCTCTAGCAGCTGAACATACTTATGAGTGGTATCCAGGTGACCATGAGAGGTATCCCTTGCCATTGATATATTCATGGGGAAGTGGTAATGCTGTCAGTCACACAAAGATTTGACACTAATAACCCCAGCCTCACAATATTCATTGTGCTATTGGCCAAGAAGCTGTCACTTAAAAAGACCCAGATATAACACATTCTAAAGTGGCCCATTAACTGCAGCGCAACACACTAGAGAGATCCAGTAGTTCTAGTTCAATATCCTCAAAAGGCCCAGGAGTTGTAGCTCAAAATTATTTTTTTTCAAATTCTCACTGCCAAACTCATGAAGAAGTTTTTTTAATTGTTTTTGTTCTTTTTCTGGAAGGGTTCACAGAATTCATTAAATCAGATTAAAAAAACAGACAGAATACAGCACCAAATATAAGGGTCACATCCTGGAAGCTAATAGGTTTTTCTGTATTAGAATTCATCACCTAAGGTTTTCTTAGCAAGTACAGAACAATTAATTTTAACATACAATAACTTTTGCTTTCTTACCTGTGAATATTTACTATTATCATCTTATGTTTCTTAGCAAGCTGCTACAGTAGCTGCTTACAACTCCAGCATTACTGTTATATTTACGGGGAAGAATGAAAGCATAGGGGTAATACAGTGCCTAGGGGAGGCAATCAGGTTTGATTCAAGTGGAAAAGTAGTTATAATTCTGTGGATCAAGTGCCCTTCAGCATCAAGGCATCCCCATCAAGAGTAGAACTCAAGGAAAAGTTAACAAATGATAGAAAGTCGGATAAATCCCTTCCCTGCTCCTCTTCTAAGTATGCCCTGGTCACTGGTACCTAAGACCATCACTGACCAATTATCTATGGAAGATCCAGGAGATGCCACTATGGTCTGAAAAAATTTGTTTTGCTAGTATATTAAGAGGCTGTAAAATAATGACCAATCTTGATACTCAGTATCAATGAAACACAAGAAAAGCTGAAAATTTAATTTTACACTGAATAGTACATTTTTTTTATTGCTACAGTATATTCCTTAGAATAAAAAAATAGCTCTTTTAAGTGCTGTAACAGTAACATGATACAATTAATTTTTCCTTAACAGAATTAATACCAAATTTCTGCTTGTAAAACTACTTAAGATATACTGTACTATTTGAAATATCGTAAAAAATTCTTTTGCACCTTTGTATATTGACTTTCTTATTAAAAATTTTACTGTATATGTATATCATTTTTAAGTACGAAAAACTACTTTTTGTGTAAGGTTCGATGAACCACATATGATTACAACTTCTCTAGTTTTACTGCCCTTGTGTCAGTTTTGGTTCATTCTATCTCTTTTAGTTCAGTATGTGTTTTACCATTTTTTTAATTAAGGAACCTCATTTTCTTTCAATAACTTAACTCCAGTTCTCAAGCTGTGGATTCCCTTACAAACAAAAAAATCTGGAGAACTGACATAAAAGTTTGTGCTCCTTGTGGTTCAGCAAAACCAACATAGAAAATACCTTCTCACAGTGCACTTCAAAGTGATGTATGTATTCTCTGTCTGGATTCCCTTACTTGGAACAGATGTATCAGTACGCAGTGGCACATGATGTTTGGGAGGAGCAAACTGTGTAAGACCATCATCCATCACATGTCCTTGGCAATCAAACCCTTCATTATAATCTTTGAGGTGCAAAATTTCAGACATGACTATGCCGAAGGGACAAGTAGCACCATTAGAAGGCCTTATACATTAAACAAAACCTGTAGTTATCCTCGTCAACCAGCTTTGCAGAGCATAAAGGCTTGCTATGGGCTCTATTACTGTAAAAGATACAATCATCTTGAAAGACTGCCAACTCCTATTAGCAGTCTTGGAAGTTCTCATATTAAAAAAGAGAAACAAAATGCATGGGCACTCAAGAATCTAGTTGTTGACTGGTGCTCTTCAGCAGAGGACGCTGGAACTGTTATTGAATGAAAATGATTCATTTGATATTACAGTGGACCCCCGGTATTCGATATTAATCTGTTCCTGAGAGCTCATCGAATATCGAAAAGCGAATCAATTTTCCCCATAAGAAATAATGGAAATCAAATTAATCCGTGCAAGACACCCAAAAGTATGAAAAAAAAATTTTACCACATGAAATATTAAGTTTAATGCAATAGAATAATTACAATAACAAAAATATCAATAGAATAATAGCAATAGAATAACTGACACTTACCTTTAATGAAGATCTGGTGATGATTGATGGGATGGGAGGAGGGGAGAGTGTTGAAGTTGTTACTGTTTAGAAGGGGAATCCCCTTCCATTAGGACTTGAGGTAGCAAGTCCTTTTCTGGGGTTACTTCCCTTCTTTTAATGCCACTAGGACCAACTTGAGAGTCACTGGACTTCTGTCACACAACATATCTGTCCATAGAGGCCTGTACCTCTCGTTCATTTATGACTTTCCTAAAGTGGTTCACAACATTGTCATTGTACAGGTTGCCAACACAGCTTGCAGTAGCTGTGTCAGGGTGATTTTCATCAAAAAAGGTTTGCACTTCAAGCCACTTTGCACACATTTCCTTGAATTCCTTCACATATTTTTCAGCTGCTTTTTGGTCCGAACTGGCAGCCTCACCATGCCTAATCACACTATGTATGCCACTACGATTCTTAAATCTTCCAAACCAACCTTTGCTAGCCTTAAATTCACTCACATCAGCACTCGTTGCAGGCAATTTCTTTACCAAATCGTCATGCAACTGCCTAGCCTTTTCACAAATGATCGCTTGAGAGATGCTATCTCCTGCTATCTGTTTTTCATTTATCCACACCAATAACAGTCTCTCAACATCTAACACTTGTGGTCGCTGTTTCGTAATCACAGTTGCACCTTTTGCAAGAACAGCTTCCTTGATTGCCGTTTTCCTGGTCACTATAGTAGAGATGGCTGATTGGGGTTTACTATACAACCTGGCCAGCTCCGACACAATCACTCCACTTTCGTACTTTGCAATTATCTCTTTCTTCATTTCAATAGTCATTAGCACCTTTTTTCTCGAAGGGTTGGCACTAGAAGCTTTCTTGGGGCCCATGGTGACTTATTTTGCAGAAACAAGCACCAAAAACAGCGATAATATGGAATGTACCGAGTGTATCCTTAGATGCGCGCACACTGCCTGGCTTGTAAACACTGGCACACACGGGGCAGTTCAGGCCACACGTGGACACGTCTCGTATGAATCGCATCGCATCGAATACTGGGTTTTCGATCGGATACCAAGGCGAAATTTTTGTGTTAAAATGCATCGAATACCGGATTTATCGGATACCGATGCCATCGAATACCGGGGGTCCACTGTATTAGAATTATTACTAAATGCTAAAATTCACTTGATAGAAAACAGAAGGTAGAGTGATACTGAGCTAAAAGTGGAAGGTTTATTCTGAACTGTTATCTTTTAACCCTTTGACTGTCGCGGCCGTACATATGCGTCTTACGAGGTACCGTGTTTGACGTATATATACTCATAAATTCTAGCGGCTTCAAATCAAGCAGGAGAAAGCTGGTAGGCCCACATGTGAGAGAATGGGTCTGTGTGGTCAGTGTGCACCATATAAAAAAAATCCTGGAGCACACAGTGCATAATGAGAAAAAAAAAAACTCCGACCGTTCTTTTTAATTAAAATGCCGACTTTGTGGTCTATTTTCGTATAGTATTTATGGTTGTATTCTCGTTTTCTTGGTCTCATTTGATAGAATGGAAAACATATTGTAGAAATTGAGGTGATTTTGATTGATTTTACTATAAAAAGAACCTAGAAATGGAGCTCAAAGTAGGGGAATGTTTGATTTTTGCCAATGTTCAAAAGTAAACAAATGATGCCATTGTCCAATAAATGTCCAACTAGCCATTCTAATATGCAGTCATGAATGGGTTGATGTTATTTATACAATTATTTCAGTATTGCAGTAGTCTGCATAATAGTAAGTCTTCTATTTTTTGTTTGAATAAAAATTCAAAATGGAAAGCAAGAGTAATATCAGAGGCGCCTGGAGACATGACTGATGAACAAAGAAAATGTTGTTTTAGAGCCAGGAATGTCTGCATTGTTCATTCTGGACCTTATTTTGAAATTGCCATATTTTTTAGTTTTTGTAAAATTGGCCAAATTGCAAATTTCTGACCACATTATTAGGTAGTTGAAATCGGTAAATGGGCAGTTTCTTATACTCAATCGATAGAAAACATGGAGTTCTAATGAAATAGCTATGAGTTTGGGCGACTGGAACAATGGAATTAGCCGAAAATAGGGCTCAAAGTGGGCGAAATCGCCGATTTGTAAAGAGCGCCGAAGTCGCTAACTTCGCGAGAGCATAATTCCGTCAGTTTTCCATCAAATTTCGTTTTTTGATGTCATTACAATCAGGAAAAGATTCTCTATCATTTTATAAGAATTTTTTTTTTTTTTTTTTTTTTAAATTTTGCGACACCAGGAGACACCTCAGGATTGAGGGTTGCGACAGTCAAAGGGTTAATCTTTCTAGAGATCATCACTGTGGCCTAGGCTTGAAACAAGCCTTCTAAACTTGATAGGAAACATTACAGAAATAAAAACTATTAAGATATACAGGAATATACAGAGTATGCTGAATTTTCATAACATTTACCTGCCTTCTTCATGTTTATGAAACACAAGAAGAGGTAAAAGCTCAGAACTTTTGTTTGAGATACATGAAAACATTTCTAATCTTATATAACCTGTCACTTCTGTCAGGCCTGGTTTTGTCAGAGAAGTGCAACATACGTAAGAGTAAGATAAACCTGTTCACTGGGATGATTTCACTGAAGACCGGGGTAGAAATTAGCCGATCTGTGGACCAGTATTCTTTTATATTATGCTTATAGACATGAGGCATAAGCATTATTATTGCAAAAAGCAAATACATTTCTGCAACAGTTGTCTCTTTCCACCTGTGTAGTCTTGACTGTGGTGATATGATCGTATTTGCCATGGTGTACTCAAAATACTTATTACTTTCCCTGACAATAGTTTCCAACAATGGCTGGTCAAAGAATAATTCAAAGAATTCCAGTTCATTGGCCGTGGTTCCAAAGGGACAAGTAGGTAGAATTCCACTTTGAGAGTCATCAAAGTGGTGAGGCTTGGGAACAAAATTGGGATTTTGCTGCCAATCCCACATACGGTTTGCTGGTGGATACTGGACATCATAGGCTGGTTGTGCGGGTGGTTGTGGTTGTGGTGGGCTGGTGGCTGACGCTCCGCTTTGTCCTTGAACTGACGAGTCAGCAGCGTGGGTCCCAGCGTGGGCTGGTGAGTCACGCATGGCGGTGCCACTACCATCACCACTACCACCATCCACTGATGCCTGTGGTCTATCCATGCCAAGTGTAGCCACATCATCCTCACTATCACTACCTAAAACTGGTGTAGGGCCACAGGATGTACTCCGGGATGTACTCCGGGATGTACTCCGTCCCCTGGGCACAGCATAGGGTACACTACCCGAGCGCATGTGGCGGCGAACATACCGACGCTTCACTGGTGAATATGATTCCTCACTATCACTACTCGAATGATCGTCGAGCACAATAAAATCACAATCCACGTCACTATCATCATCATTACTGAAGTCAGAGGCCTGGCCACGCGAAAATATTAGTTTTCTCTTGTGTTGAAGGCACAACCGACCGTGAGTCATGAGTGCACACACCAGAGGTAGAAGGTTGAGGATCGTCAGGGGTTTCTGCACTATTATCGATATCCTGGTCATTCCTTTCGGTCACTAACTGATCAAAGCCGTAGAATTCGTCTTCATTTCCACTTCCATCAGTGTCAGAACTATCAGATAGGAAGAGGAGAGTCCCAATTTTCCGGGGAGTGAGAGCTGACTTGCAACGAGGCATGGTGAACAAGGGTAACTGAGCCGGCGTTCCCACAATGCTATGCGGGCGCCTAGAATTTTTGTTTATGGCGCACACCCACCATGCAGACCCGTTCTCTCACATGTAGGCCTATGAGCGCTTTCGCGCTAAATTTGACAGCGTAGAATTTTGGCGTAGATCTACGGTTTGGACACTCAATGTGAAGCCGTAGATCTACGGGATGGACCCTGAAAGGGTTAAAAAGACACGTGAGCAAATACTGTACTAGGAAATATTTATTAGAAAATGTTTCAGTCCTGAGACCTTGACTAAAACATTTTCTAATAAATATGCCCTAGTGTTTGCTCACATATCTTTAAAACAATTTATTGTATCAATTACCAAAGTTTACGAAAAGGAGTTAAACTGGGTTGATCAAAGGAATGGGTAGCTTCTTTCCTCGATTCAAGAGCCCTTCACCAGCAGTAAGACACCCTCTTCAAAGGGTAATAGGTTTCATGTAAGGGGTTGGTCAATGATGATTGGTTTGCGATATTTGGCTTGAACCCACACTCTATACATGGTCAGCTGCTTTCCTCTGTTTACCTGCAAGCGGCGATCTACCAGATTCTGAACTTCCTCCAATCCAGACTCAGTCATCAGATTTCGAACTTCCTCTGCAATTGTAAGTGTAAACAGGTTCTTGAGGATACGCAACAATTATCTAAAAGTTACTTTATTATAAACGACTCAAAAAAATTACAATACAGTGAACCCTTAATTTAATGGACTAATAGGGAAGAAGGGCTGTCCATTAAATCCAAATTATGAGATTTTTCCCATAATCAGAATAATGAATTTACTTAAAGAATCTCAATAACAGACAATTCTGGATTTAATGGACTTTGATGAAGATTAAGACACATGTGCAATTCCATGATGTTGCAGTGTCTGACAAGTCGTACAAGAATGGTATACAACACCGACAAGATGAAAATTAATGGACTTTGTTTGTTAAATCCAAAATCAGTTTACCTAGGGGATAGTAAAAATGACAATGCTGAACGTAACATACTCTGTCGATTTCCAGATGTACAGCCACAAAATTTGTCCCTTAAACCCAAAATATCTTAAAATCAGGGTCCACTACATCGAGTATTACTTTTCACCTGAATTTCACAAAAATGGCTTATTTATTGGAAAATACCACAGGTCCATTTTATATCATTCATTTTCAAATACTGAAGCCATTACAATCTAAACACATTAAATGTAAATACTGTAAACTGTGGTGAGAAGAGCCCACACCCATATTTACTCCCCAATACTGAAATTTTCCCACCCAGTTTAGCTTTGTTTTGCTTACAGGTAGTCACCCAACTACTTTTCATTCATAATATTCACAATTAATTCTTTCTTCTCATCTGTACTACACCTACACACATTCAAACAACCCAACTTCCAAAATTTCCTTCTTTTTCTTTAGGTCATCTATTATGATACAAATTACTTATGGAGGAAGCATTCTACTCCACTTCCCCATGTATGTAAAAAAGAATAATGGAAGACTGCTATCATAGGGAATATACATCATGTTTACTCTACTCTCTATATTAGAAATTAAAATATTCTTGACTGGTGGTGTACAAGTTAGATGCAACCTATATGACAAGAAATTAGAGAAAGCTACTATGAAAATGTGCTTCCAGTTTTTAACACATTATCCATGTCCTACCAAGGCAGAGTGATGCCAAAAGGAAACATATTTACCATCATTCATTCTCTAGTTCTTCCATAAGTGCACAGACATCACATTAAATTATCTTGCAGAAAATGGCAAATCACAATTTTTTATATATACCTTGAGTAAAGAAGTAGCACCTTGTCCCATCTCCACGAACATAGAAATTGTCTGAAAGGCATCTTCCCTTCTTATATCGGAGTTGTGCCATATCATAGCGACCATAATCACGAAAAAGCAGAATCCCTCCAGGACGAAGATAATCTGACATATTCCTCACAACTTGTTGTAATCTGAAAAGAAAAGTGAAACAATATTATGACAAAAATCTGAGACAAATAATGAAAAATTAAAGCTGGCTAATACCCTCGTTTTTTGCTTCATGGGGCTAATTAATACGCTTAAAAAATGCATACCAGCACTGCTAACACCAAAGTGGTAAACTGAGTTTGCAATGCTTTGCTCAATTGCTACGCACTCACCTCACACAATGAGGTCTGGAGGTCGATCCCTGGTATGGCTGGGAAACATCAGGACATGTTTCTGTAAGATACCTGGGTGTCCATGTTCACCCATCAGTAAAATGGGTACCTGAGTGTTAGTTGACTGGTGTGGGTCACATCCTGGGACAAAATTGACCTAATTTGCCTGAAGTGCTCTGCATAACAAGAGGCTTTCTATTTTCTTTATTATTATGAAAAATAGGAAGGTTACATGAGTTCCATTTCTTCACACACAAATTCTGAGTGTTCTTTTAAAGTTTAAGCAAACAGCTTCAAAAATAAACTAATGAATCATTTGATGTATTGCTTTGTGGCCCATGGAGAATATATTTGCCATTTTTTCCAGTTGAAATATACAGCATAGTTAGATTTTATTTGTCAGCCAACTTTAGTATTACACAGTACCATATCACACCTTACAGCAGTATACAAAACAGTATACTGTACATGGTATGGTTTTTCTTGTTACAGTAGCACAGTTATTACGGGGACAGAGCTATACAGTAAACCTTCAAATTAATTTAGTAATATGGGGAGGGGGAGGAGGATATACATTATTGCTGATTGTCTACTGTTTCAGAATTAAATGACCCAGCCAAATTTTGTCTCAGATTTCTGAAGTCCATTAACTCAAAGTCCACTAAAGTAAAAATTTATTGTATTTTTATTTTTTTATTAACACATCAGTTGATTCCCACCAAGGCAGGGTGGCCCGAAAAAGAAAAACTTTCACCAACATTCACTCCATCACTGTTTTGCCAGAGGGGTGCTTTACACTACAGTTACAAAACTGCAACATTAACACCCCTCCTTCAGAGTGTAGACACTGTACTTCCCATCTCCAGGACTCAAGTCGGCCTCCTGGTTTCCCTGAATCCCAGACCCAATAAGCTGAGAAGAGGTTGACCTGCTACAGGTGGGGGCTGCCAGAATGTAAAGCAAGTCATACTTTATATTACATTACTCTAATTTTTAAGAAATTTTTTTATGAGGTGAGTTTACATTGATATTTTTAACCTAATTATATTTTTTCATTTGCTATTCACTTAATGGAATTAAATTTATGACATATGTGCATGTATATGTATGTGTGGGGGAAGAGGGGGGGTTCAGAATACAGTGGAACCTTGGTTTTCATGATTAATCCATTTGAAAAAGTCTGACGATAAATCAAATTGTATGAAAACAGAAGCAATATTTCCCATAAGAAATAATGTAAATCCAATTTCTCTGTTCCAGACACCCAAAAATACTAACAAGAAATATATTTTATAGAGAATAACTATAGTTTTACATACAAACTAGGGCATACAAAAACCGAGGTTCCACTGTATAACCATCACACTAAGTAAAGGCTGACTGTAGCTAATTAAAAAATAGCATAAGATAACTAAGCAATCACTGTACAGTGTATATTAACCAGTTTGTGGCTTGCTGCATTAAATGATCCACACAGGTTTAGCACTTCATGAAATACCCAGTACAATGCAAAGCATATTGTCATTTCTTCATCTGAGTGTCTTGGAACCTTTATGGGTCGCTTTCACAGGATTTTTCAAGAATGCAACCCATATGGAGAAAGAATAGATTTTCTACATTACCATTCATATTTTGTAAGAAATAAATGATGAATAAAATGACACCATAATAATCTCTTCTATTTTTTACATGAAATATTTTGAGATGAGTCCCTCAAGCAAACTGGTAGTAAATATGCATGACACAGGCTTGCACACTGTAAAATTACACCCCAAACCCAAAACAAAACCAAAAACCAAAAAAGGAAACAATATAACATGCCACTGATAATGTTTGACACTACTGTTGCTCCATCAAACGGATGCTGTTTGTAACGGGTCGACAAAGCTCCTGAAGAGCGAAACGTTGCCACAATAAAATGTCACATTAGTTGCACTTGTGTCCTTTTACTTTACATACAAAATAAATACATACAAATATAGTGAAGTCTACATAAAGTTTTTCACCATCAAATGTCTTTTCATTTTTTCTTTATTTTTTACACATCAGTTTTACATGCTAAGAGCTGTTATTCTCTCAGTTCATTTCAAAGCCCAGTCCTATCTAAGGCATACTAACACTCCCCAGGACGTGAACCACAACAGTCGACTAACACCCTAGGTACCTACTTACTGCTAGGTGAACAGGAGCAGAAGGTGTAAGGAAACATGCCCAACGTTTCCACCCTTACTAAGAATGAACCCCAGATATGCAGTAGGTAAGCTGACTGCACTGCCAACCAAGCCATAGGTTACATTTTACTCAATCTTATGAAAGGCATTAAGGGCCACACATAAAGGATCACACACAGCTGGTGGACTGTTGGTTGTGTAAATATGGTGTACAGTATTGACTATTTACTGACTCTCCAGCTATTTTTTTTTTTTTTTCAACAAGTCGGCCGTCTCCCACCGAGGCAGGGTGACCCAAAGAGAAAGAAAATCCCCAAAAAGAAAATACTTTCATCACCATTCAACACTTTCACCTAACTCATACATAATCACTGTTTTTGCAGAGGTGCCCAGAATACAACAGTTTAGAAGTATATATGTATAAAAATACACAATATATCTCTCCAAACTGCAACTCTCCAGCTATATACTAGTAAAATACTGAATATGCACAGAGCAAAGAATAGTACATAACTTACTTGTCAGGAAGAAGTGAAGAGAGGACAAATATACACACAATAACATCTAAGCTTGCCTTTGGGAAAGGTGTCTGCCACTCTTCACTTGTCACATCACATACAAAAGCATGGCATCTGACAACAGAAAGGTCTGTAATTAAAATTGCTTGTATAAGGAAAACATATTCTTGTGTAAAAAAGAGCTAGTATATCAGCTGAGGTAATTCTGACTGATGACAATTCATAGTAATATCCATCCTTTTAAATGACTATTATATTTCTTTACATCCACATTCCCCTTGTCATTACTGATTTCATTAGATAGGCAAGGGTAACACTATGCTAACAAGGATCATCCAGCACCTGAAGAATAAGAGGTAATCCAATGAAGAAAGGATATTCCTAATTTTTTGGAACAAGAGCCCTTTGCTAATATCAAGGAACCCCTTTTGAAAGGTATACTGCCCTTGATTATTGTTTTCATTCTTTTTATCCCTATTCTCCCTTTACCTGTGCCTGTCTGTCTTAATGAAAAAATCACAATACAACAACTGGAGCAACTCACTACTAACCCAAAATTTGGAGAGTAATCTTTAAAAGACATTTTTTTGTTTGTCATATAAAGTTTCCTTTCCAAATTGTGGTTTAGTTGCATCTTGTGTCTCTTCCTAGTTTTTCCAGAAATGGATTTATGGAGCACACAGGTGCACACACATTGCTCCCTTAAGCTGTGAGCTTCATTTCATAATGACACTACAAAATCATGCATTTCCACACATAATTACTTTCATTAACTAACAAATAAATGCAAGGAAAGTGTGTAGCACACAAAAAGACATATCACTATTTATAATTGTAGTATATTGCTCATTACACAATGTGATGAATCTCAGTGTGAAATGTTACTACTGCCCACATGCTGTTTCCACCATTAACAGAGAAAAATAATTAAACATACCATAAAATAGTTACAGAATTTTGGAAGTGTGCTTGTGTCTGTGTGAGAGATCCATTTTGAGGTTCATTGACAAGTATGGCAATTTAAGTAAAAGGATACAAGAGCAACTAATGAGACATTTAATACACAAATTGTTCACTCTCCAAGAGCTTTATCAAGGCTTGACAAAGTTCCTAGAGAATGATAAATGGCTGTAATTTCTCTTTAGTTGCTCTTGTGGATTTTTTTTTTTCAACAAGTCAGCCATCTCCCACCGAGGAAGGGTGACCCAAAAAGAAAGAAAATCCCCAAAAAGAAAATACTTTCATCATTCAACACTTTCACCGCACTCATACATAATCACTGTTTTTGCAGAGGTGCCCAGAACACAACAGTTTAGAAGCATATATGTATAAAGATATACTACATATCCCTCCAAACTGCCAATATCCCAACCCCTCCTTTAGAATGAAGGCATTGTACTTCCCATATCCAGTACTCAAGTCTGGCTATATAAAAATAACCGGTTTCCCTGACTCTCTTCACTAAATATTACCCTGCTCACACTCCAACAGCCTGTCAGGTCTCAAATAACATTCGTCTCCATTCACTCCTATCTAACACGCTCATGCATGCTTGCTGGAAGTCGAAGCCCCTTGCCCACAAAACCTCCTTTACCCCCTCCCTCCAACCTTTTCGAGGACGACCCCTAGCCCGTCTTCCTTCCCCTGCAGATTTATACACTCTCCATGTCATTCTACTTTGATCCATTCTATCTAAATGACCAAACCACCTCAACAACCCCTCTTCAGCCCTCTGACTAACACTTTTATTATCTCCACACCTTCTCCTGATGACGGTTAGTTTCTGAGATTGCTGCTTGTGTATGTCAGCAAACAAAGATGTGGAAAAATTATGTTTTCTTCCTGTTCGTCTTCCTTGAAATATAGAGTTAATAGCTGATGGGATGCTGATAAATCGTTTGCTGTTACTGTGCAATTTCTGAATAATAATGAGTCTGAATTTTATACAGAAAAATGTGTGTCTAAGTGGGTTGAAATAATTAGTTTTATTTGACTGGTGCAGTGGCATTAAAAAAAAATGCTAACAAAAAATCGAAGTATGTACTTGATAAAAAAAAATGGGGGTCGGGGAGGTTATTCAACTCAACAACACACACTGATGAATGTTCACAGCTGCTGAGTGATATCTGTAAAACAATTATTTTTGCAAATACTGTTGCTCATAACTTGAGGACTCTCCTGTACTTGTTACATGCTAATAATGACTACATTTACATCACCTACCTTTTTTCTTCATAATCTGGGGACTCTTTAATTAAGTCAATAGCTGTGCTAGAAAAATCACAGCAGTAGACAAACAGGCCTTCATTATTGTTAGTTTGAAGAATTGGAAAGACTGTATTGCCCACACCACATCCTACTTCAAGAATACGAAATGTAGCACTTTCTCCAGGGTATGCTTCCTCCATTTCTATATTTGCATTTGTAATATTTGTTCGGTATTTAAAATAAGTTTCATCTAATGCAAAATTTTCAACTTTTGTATCTTCTGATTCACTTCTTGTATTATCAATAGAGTGTTCTATTTCAAAAGAATTTTCTTTATCCATAAAATCTCTGTCCTCTCTTGTTATTACGGGTGTTTCAGACTGACTATTTGCACCTGCCTGCTGATGACAAACAGGAAGATGCTCCTTTTGTGCTATTTGTGTTGGTGCTTCAGATGAATTAAGCTTCACTGGGAAAGTATGTGCCAAATGTGGTGCCAACTCTGGAAATTCTGTGAATAGCCAGTGTCTATCTTTGAAGAACCTGAAACGACAAAGAACATTTTACATTTTATTATTACCAAAAATGTACACCCTACAACCAGAAAAACATCTTTATTTATTGTTGGTTCATTTTGAAATATTTCTTCTTTCAACGCACCGGCCATATCCCACTGAGGCAGGGTGGCCCAAAAAGAAAAACAAAAGTTTCTCTTTTTAAATTTAGTAATGTATACAGGAGAAGGGGATACTAGCCCCTTGCTCCTGGCATTTTAGTCACCACTTATGACACGCATGGCTTAAGGAAGAAGAATTCTGTTTCACTTCCCCATGGAGGTAAGAGGAAATGAACAAGAACTAGTAAGAAAAGGGAAGAAAACCCAGAGGGGTGTGTATATATATGCTTGTTCATGCATGTGCAAAGTGACCTAAGTGTAAGTAGAAGTAGCAAGACGTACCTGAAATCTTGCATGTTTAATAAACAGACTTATCTTTAGCTTTAAGCATTAACCTTAATTCAGTGAAAAAGCCACAGGGAGTAGACTTTTATTCTAGAAAACATTTGGACTTGCAGGACTTTTATCAGATAATGTTTACTCTATGTAATGTTTCCATTACATCACTGTCAGTATGTACTGTGTGCATTTGTCTACACAGCCTGACTGAACTGGAACTTGGACATAGTAATGGCTTAGTTTCCTCTTGAAAGCTTCCATTTGTTTTTTAGCATCTGCTAATAACAGGTTGAAATACCATTTGCCAATGATGTTCACATAGTGTTCTCTTAATGTACTATACAGTACAGTACTACTAATGGAACCCTTGCTTTTCACTGGGTTAATTCTACACTTCCTCCCCATATCATTCACTCAAGTTGTGGCAGTGTGTAGATTGGGGACCTTGTGTTGTTGGATTTTTAGTCAGGTATATACCCAAGAAAACAAGTGTTTCCTTAGAGAGGCCATTCCCAAGTGAGAGTCACTAAAACTTCACTGTGGTGTTTACAAGACCAAAAAAATGAGAAATTTTATCTGGGAGATTTTGGTTACTTACTTTACTTTAAGTGCCAAAAGCACCTTTGTTACAGTGCTTTTGAATTTGGAGCATTCAAAAATTTTAATTTCTTTCTCTACTTTACCTGTTTTGGTGAATACTGTAGAAACTGTTCCACTGCTCTGCTGCATTCTGCTCCAGCCTTGCAATTTCTTCAGCACTTAGTGTTACTTCAGAGTTCTCCAAAACCTTGGCTTGAGCAACAGCCTCTTGATTCTCATCCCAAACAACATTATCCCTAGAAAGTAGACAAAATGATGTATCTTTCAATTTTTTTTTACAAAAAGGCAGAGAACGTTGTCCCTTAATTTGTGTGATAGAGTAAAACATCGAAATCTCAGCTCTATCAGGGCTGAAGACTGTCTGAGACTTCCAAATGCCAAAGACCTGTAATGATAAAAAGTATATGGGGCAGTTTCAAGAAGAGAAAAAAATCTAAGTGTATAAAATAAAAATAGAAATCGATAATTGCTGTTATCTTTTTCCTCTTGTAATATGTCTATTGTAGAAAGTATATACAATGGAACTTCGGTTTTCATTACTTCGTTCCAGAAAGTCTGATGAAAACCGAATTTGACGATAACTGAAGCAATATTTCCCGTAAGAAATAATGTAAATCCAATTAATCTGTTCCAGACACCCAAAAGTATTAACAAAAATACATTTTATAGAGAATAACTATTGTTTTACACACAGAAAACATTGAGAAATAAATATAAAAGACTACTGAAATGGATAAATGAACACATAATATCACTTTTACCTTTATTGAAGACTTGTTGGCGTATGGAAGCGTATGGAAGAGGGAGGAGGAGAGGTTATTGGTTGGAAGGGGAATCCCCCTCCATAAGGACTTCAGGTATCAAGTCCCTATCCAGGGTTACTTCTTTTCTTTGTCTTTTACTGGCACTAAACCCCTGTCGCAAAAAAAAAATCTGTCCAGGGTGGTCTGTTTCTGGTATCTCTTTAAGATTTGCCTAAAATGGGACAAGGCATTGTCACTGAACATGTTGCAGACATGGCTTGCAACAGCTTTGTTAGGGTAATATTTCTCCACAAAACTCTGCAACTCACTCCACTGTGTACACATGTCCTTAATCACTGAAGAAGGCACATTCTCCCCTCTTTCTTCTTCCTCCTCTGAAGCAATTTCTTCAGCTGCAATCTGTTGCTGTTCCAGTTAAGATGTTGCAGCTCTTTGTCAGCACATTTACCCCTTTTGCAACATCAGATTCCTTGATTTCTCTTTTCTTCACCAGGATGGAACTGATCATTGATGAGGACTTCCCATACACCCTGGCGGGATCAACCACACTTATGCCACTTTCATATTTTGCTATGAGTTCTTTCTTGAATTCTATCATGTTTCTCGCCTTTTTTATCAAAGGGCTGGCACTCGGAACTTTCTTTGGCCCCATGGTGGCTTATTTAGCAGTCACACTCAATAAACAAGCACAAAAAGCAATGGATTATTATGAAATGTTTCAGATGAATGCTTAGGGTAATGCTCACTCGATGAGAAACAAAGCCAGATTGACTCAGAACGCGTGGGATACTTTGTGTGGGTGTGAGCAGGTGGACACGTTTGGTACAGCAGACTGATGAAAACCGAAAGCTGGGACAAAATTTTGATGAAAAAAGTTGTTGAAAACTGAAGTCAACGAAAACCAGGGCAAACAAAAACTCAGGTTCCACTGTATGTACATGATCTAAGCATCTTGCTCAGCTGAACATGATGCATCTGCATTATGGAGAGGAGAAATGGGGTGGGGTTCAGGCATTGCAGTGTGGGAGGGAACATGGGGTTGAGACAAGAAAGAAGGGAAAAGAGGGGTGGGATAGAAATGTGGGAAGGTAGTAGTGAGTACAACTGTGAGAGGGAGGGTGCAAGGTTAAGTCATGTATCTTTCATACTGAATATGTCCAGTACGCTGAAGCAGCTGCTACTACAGCCCAACCAACCAATGTAATTATTAAATATGTAATGTACTTAACTAATCTTTGCTCCCCCCAGAGAAAACGTCCCAAAATATACATAAAGAATATGTTCAAAATAACAATGCATTTGGTAAAAAACTAACCAAGAAAAAAATATTTACAATTTAACCCAGTAATGCTTGACTGATCTTTACCCAACAAATATCAGCTCTTTATTCGTGCATAAAAACAACATTCACAAAGTGTGAATGCATTTGCAATGAAAAAATAGAGAAAAAATCAGATATGCAAACAAATGTGAGCTCTCTGTACACATAAAAAGATCATAAAAAACAAGAAAAAAAATTTATTCATTCATTTACAGTAAAACTAATTCTTAATCAGCAAGGACTGGATGTCTTCATGGAACATCAAGCATATTTTCTTCTTTAAAAATTTATGTCAGGACAGGAATTTTTTTTTTTTTTCAAAAAAACTTGTCTCATCTACATTTAATATTTAATGAGCACTGTAAGTACCCTGTATAATGTTGTCAAACTTTTTCACAAATGCATCTGTTGCTTGCACATTGGTACTAGTAAACTTGGCATGCAAAAACACAGTAAATATAAGGTAAGGAGTGAACAAAGGTAGGAAAATGTTTACTACTAGCTATAACTCCTCCTTCCGCCACCCACATCCTTTATGGCTCTGCCATTACAAGTAGTCTGCTGCTGTAAGGGCAAGTCCTCATTCCTAAGGAATTAACTGGTTCTAGGGTGCCAATATCATAAGTGTCATAAACTGGAATGTAATAAATTAGGCCCCCACCTTTATGTTCAATTAAATGGACAGTGTTGTTACCATAATATGTTTGTGGCAGTATTTAATAATCACAGTTTTATCTGCAAGAAAACATGCAAGTTACCACAACTCGCACTATACCCCAAGAGTTATTTACAGATTTCCTTACCAATTGTTATATTTGAAAACCATTTTCCAATCCTTCAGTTCCCTCCCTCCCCCCTGTGGCCGTTGTCGTCCAATTGCTTTAGTGGTCACACATCGACCCAGCAGATAAGAGGTTTTACTCCATAATTTTAACATCTTATTCATTGTGCCAACACCATGTCAAAGATCTGAAAAAGTGCAAAAGAGGTTTTTTTTTTTCCAGCATAATGCTGACAGTGTAATATGAATCCTCTTAACTTACAGTACAGAATTGCAGTATTTAAATACAAGAATAACCTGCAGGTACAGCTTAAAACATTGCACCAATTACTCATATACTTTCCAGTGTGAATGAAGTTCAGTGTACAGTACTAAAAATGCTTGCTGTAGAATTTTACTGGACAGTTTGTGTATCAGATAGAAAAGCAGTTAATGCACATGTGACATAAAATAAAAGAGTGGTGAATATTGCCTTGGCAATATGTATATATCAATACTATTCTAATTTGGATAAAAACACTTACCAGGCATTATGTTCAAACATATTTTTCTTGTCTTTCAAGAACCTGGTTCCAAACTGTGGTCGTTTCCCCGGACAATCATGCCCACTTGTTTCTGACATCTTTGGTTCTCAATACTGTAGTACTGTTTATTACAGTCTGAGAGTAGCACCTCCTGTTTTATTTTGAATGACGGTCGATGTTAATATTTTTCTCTTGTTCACTATCTCAATTATGGAATCTGCCTTATTGGTTCTTGTTTGAAGGTTTTAGTCCTGTAGCTTTTAGCCTATCATGGAAGAAAAGAAAGCTTCAGATCTGGTGTGATGTCTTGTTACACTGCCTAGAACTTTTCCGGTGATGAAATCCATCTAAAATATGTGATCTCCATGCTATAATCCTGTAAATAAAATAATAAATTATTCACTGGTCAAGGTGAAGTTTATTTAGTTGTAATAAATCTTTCCTACTACAGTATCCACCTTTCCAGTGATGATCTCTAGCTACAGACCAAGGTGTGCCACTGACATGCTGTGTGTAAAGGGTTCCTTAAATGTAAGTGGTAAAGCTATACAGGAATAACTGGCCCTAAATGTGCAAGCATATGAATTCAAGGTCACAGTGCTATACTAAAATACTGTAGATTAAGCAATGCCTTGTAGACAGGAAACAGTGTCTCTACACAGGGATGAATCGGACTTGGCAACATTTTAAGTAGGATGCAACAAGGTTCCATTTTGGGACCTACTCTGTCTATGTAAAATAATGTACAGCATGGTATTTGTACTTGAATTTCAAGAAGAGGCAAATCCATGAATGGATAATTCAGCACAAGGAATTGTGAAGGCTAAATCTTAAGTCCTATAATTGTTAAATGCAATACCCATGTGAAATGCAAGACTTTATGGTACAAGTATAGTACTCCGCTGAAAATAGTCCTTGAGGTATCCCCAGAAGAGGGATACCTAGAGTGGTTCACTGAGCAACTTACTCTTCTACCCATTTCCATGTGGTAACTTTATCAAGACTGCATCTTCAATTTAACCTGAAACTTTCAACATTTGCATACCTTGGTAAATCAAAGGTTAGTATTCTTATCAGACAGCTAGCTCACTAATTACCAATTTTGTAACTAATTTTTTGGTTCTATACTCATCCTTCTACAGCAACACAAAACAGCGGTAAATTAAACTCATGAAAGGTTTTCCTACCTGTACCAGACACTAATTGTTTGGCAATAGACTGGGTGATAATTCATACTGTCACTTTTTGTTGACTTATTATTGGCTTAAGGTGATTTGTTGTGGTGAATCCCGAGGCACAAACTGCATAGGTGAAGTAGGAACAGATTAAAGTAGTATAATACAAGCAGTAATGCTGATTCGACCTAGATTCAATCTAGGTAAGGGAAGATATCCACTTCCATAGATCAAGAGCTCCTCACCAGCATCAAGACACACCACCCTTGAGATTAGTAAGTTTATTCAGGTATATTACACAAATTTAGATTTTTGCAATGGAAATGTCTCCTTGTCTGACTTTATTTGGTTATCCTAGATAATTTACACTATGTATGATAACTGTACCTATCTGTACCTGTTCTTAAATAAACATACTTAAGAGTATGCATTATTATTATTATAATCAAAAAGAAGCGCTAAGCCACAAGGGCTATACAACGCTGATTAAGAGTATGCAAATAGCGTTAACTCCCCCCGGTGGTTGTTTTGCATAATTAAGAGTAAAATGCATGTATATTACCTAATTATTACATTCATAGCGAAGCGTTAAACCTCGTATGAGTCATACAGCACTTTGGTTTCAATCTAAGGAAGGGAAGCAGAAGGTAAATTACCTAAGATAACCCCATATAGTACAACAGTGGCATTTTCATTGGGAATTATGTACCATCAGGCTGGTTAGTTACACGCTGGGAGTCTATCTGTCCTATTATGCCAACATCTACGCTTCACCCATGCATCACTATCTTCTACCTACATCAAATATTTACGAAAATATTTTCAGACAGGTATAGGACAATGTGGGTATAATTTACACTCATTTTCTTTACCTTGTTGTTGTTGTTGATGTTTTAAAGGCTACCAAAGTTTTTGCCGTATCGAACCCGGCTTCCCGGTGGTCGGGAAATTATTACGGCCAAAGCTAGTCGATGAAAGGAAATAACAATAAAGCAGTATAATGAAAACTTAATTTTCTTTGTAAAGCGTTTCGCCAACAGTGGGCTTTGTTCAAGTACAAACAAACTACCTGGGTGGAAGGACGCGGATTATAGTCCGGTTCAGAAGCTGAGGACAGGTGAAGAATTGCAGATTGATGGTTACGATGTGAAGGTTTATTAGTCTAATAAACTTGGGTAGTTTAAGAGAATTGATAAGTTTGTGACAGCAGACTTCTACAGTGTTCATTTGTGGATAGCGATGAAGAAGTTTCTTGCAAGTGTTCAGCTATGGTTATAAGAAGCACTAATCTGTGAAGTGACGGATTATACTTGAAATCAAGAGTATCCGAATTTAGTGTTAGTCTTGTGTGCCTATAAGTCTTGAGTCTCTGTAGTTACCAAAGTGTGCTATTACGGTGTTAGTAACCATTTCATCCTAAATCCGTAGTTATCCAGACACTGCTGGAATCGTGTTCGAAATCCGTGTTTGGAGGTGCCTGATGTTATCCATAAACAACGTATTAATGAAAAAATGTTGCACCGATCATTCAAGGGATTAGATGAAAGTTTGAAAACCACAATTGAAGGTTGAGACATTTATGCAGCATAGGGGAATCGTTATCTCAGAACGTTTCGCCCCACATGGCTTCACGTCCAATACAAGAGGAAGGCGTAACGGAGGAGGAAATGATAATCAGTTACCTCAACTGGATCGATGTTTCACTCCATCAATCTGTCAGAATACTGCTAAAGGGCCGTAGAGTGGCTTATATACATCAGTGAGGTGACGTGAAGCAGTGGAGGCGGTGTCATAGTGATACCATCCATAGTCGAAGTAGTCTTTGTCCAAAGGTTGAACAAGTGTTGAAGAATTCTTTGTAACAAGATCCCATGATGCTGCTGTGTCTGACAGTTGTGATGAATGGTTTGAAAAACCGACAAGTTGAAGATTGAGACACTTATGCAGCATATGGGAATCTTTATTCAGGAAACGTTTCGCCACACAGTGGCTTCATCAGTCCTCTTTGTATTGGACTGATGAAGCCACTGTGTGGCGAAACGTTTCCTGAATAAAGATTCCCATATGCTGCATAAGTGTCTCAATCTTCAACTTGTCGGTTTTTCAAACCATTCATCACAACTGTCAGACACAGCAGCATCATGGGATCTTGTTACAAAGAATTCTTCAACACTTGTTCAACCTTTGGACGAAGACCTACTTCGACTAGTGGATGGTATCACTATGACCCCGCCTCCACCTGCTTCACGTCACCTCACTACAGTATATAAGCCACGTCTACGGCCCTATGCTGTACATTCTACAAGATTGATGGACTGAACACATCGACTCCAGGTTGAGGGACTGATTACCTCATTCTCCTCCTCTCCTTACGCCTTCCTCTTTGTATTGGACTGATGAAGCCACTGTGTGGCGAAACGTTTCCTGAATAAAGATTCCCATATGCTGCATAAGTGTCTCAATCTTCAACAAGGGATTATGTATACCCCTGCAGAGGATGGAGGCTTGTCCTATCTACTACTGGTGATGTCCTTGATGGTCGTGGTTGTGGAGGTAGATAAATTTGGGAAAGATGTTTTGGCAAAGATGTTGGAAACATGTTTGGCAATGGAGTTGGTGGGAAGGACTATGTACGAAAATATTTTCAGACAGGTATAGGACAATGTGGGCATAATTTACACTCATTTTCTTTACCTTGTTGTTGTTGTTGATGTTTTAAAGGCTACCAAAGTTTTTGCCGTATCGAACCCGGCTTCCCGGTGGTCGGGAAATTATTACGGCCAAAGCTAGTCAAATTCAAATTCAAATTCAAGTCGATGAAAGGAAAGAATAAAGAAAAAGGATAAAGATTTTATTTCTTTGTAAAGGTTACAATGTGTAATTACAACTTTGGTTTGCTAAGTACAAAGAAAGCCATTATCATGCCGGGGCACTTCGGGCAGACTAAACCTAGTTCATAATAACCACTTAAATCTAGACAAGATAAGAGTGGTTAACTCTTATTAAAATCTTTATTTAATCTTAATACTAATGCGAGGTAGTCAAGGTGTAAGTAAGTTTACTCAGTTACACAGATTATCATACACAGCAGCATGTGTAGAGAACCTAGGGTAACCCAATAAAAAGTGACTGATTTCCATTGGGATGGAGGTTTATAAGAATAATAATCTTGAAGGGAACAGGAGTTTCCCTTGCAAACTAAAACAGGAACCAAAAGTTCTCAGTTAAGTCTGGTGTGCCTTTTCCCTTATAAGCCCCAGCAGTGCCTAACACCTACACCCTCGCGTGAGTTCAGCAACCAGTTTTCCACCAAAACCGTAAATTATACGCAGAAAGGAAACATGGAACTGATGAACAGTGGCCAGGATATTAATGTGCCTATCAGGTACAATAAAAAAACAAGCGTCCCAGTTAGAATGGCAAAAAAATTTCACCGATGCTCAGGCGAGAGGGTAACGTCTGCACACCACTAAGGTTGGTACTCACCTAGTTGTATTCACCTAGTTGTGGTTGCGGGGGTCGATTCACAGCTCCTGGCCCCGCCTCTTCACCTGGCCGCTACCCGGTTACTTCCCGCTCCGTGAGCTTTATCATACCTCTTCTTAAAGCTATGTATGGATCCTGCCTCCACTACATCACTACCCAGGCTATTCCACTTCCTAAAAACTCTGTGACTGAAGAAATACTTCCTAACATCCCTGTGGTTCATCTAAGTCTTCAGCTTCCAACTGTGACCCCTAGTTGCTGTGTCCCATTTCTGGAACATTCTGTCTCTGTCCAACTTGTCTATAGCTCTCAGTATTTTATATCTTTATCATATCCCCCCTAACTCTCATCTCTTCCATGTCGTCAGGTCGATTTCCCTTAACCTCTCTTCGTATGACATATCCCTTAGCTCCGGGAATAGTCTTGTTGCAAACCTTTACACTTTCTCTAGTTTCCTTACATGCTTGGCTAGGTGAGGGTTCCAACCTGGCGCTGCATATTCCAATATGGGCCTAACGTACACAGTGGTGGCTCAGAAGTAATGCTGCTGGGACTTTTGGGTTTCGAGGGCCACCACAGTTTACGACCTACTTCCTAGTTTCTGTGGTAGAGGCCAAAGTTAGCCGGGAATTGGGAAAATACAATTGTTCCCTTGTTGTTTCTATGCCCTTCTGGAATAGAAACGAGAACAAAAAGTTTGCATTAAGGTCAAGTGAACCCCGCGCCTAAAGCCCAGAAGAGCCAGATTCCCATACTCAACATGGTTGCTAATTGCCTTCCTCCATGCCTTAGAGATCCGTAGTACAGTTAAGTATGTTTATTGAGATATACACAAATACAGTTACATAGATTATCATACATAGCAGCATGTGTGTAGAGAACCTAGGATAACCCAAAAAAATCAGTGACTTATTTCCATTGGGGTCCTTGTGACAAGTATTATATACTTACTAAAAACAAGTATCTTAATTAACTAAGTAAAAGCAGTTACAATAAAATTATTATAAAAATCAAATAAAGTGCTAAACTGACAAGGGTCATATAGTACTGTGGGGCAGAAAGTAGTGCCGGGGCTATAAACAGCTAGGTGGAGAAGGGATCAGAGGTGAGGGAAGGAAAGGGCTGGAAGGGACGCTAGGGGCTGTGTGTCAGAGTACGTATAGTGAAGCAGCTGCTGACAAAAAGACGAAGTCAAAAAGTGATCGTTAAGTTAAAGGCAGGGCCGTCTGCAAGAAAGGAAGATATGGTAAGACTAATAAAGTTGGTAGAATTACCGACAATATGTAAAGTAAAAGGACACAAGTGCAACTAATGTGACATTTTATTGTGGCAACGTTTCGCTCTCCAGGAGCTTTGTCAAGCCGTTACAAACAGTACATGGACACAGAGGGTATATATAGGCTCAGAGTGAGGTGCAATACTAATGGTGGTGGTAGTAGTAGTAGTAGTAGTAATATAATAGAACAATTAACTTGTACTCATGTAGTAGTAGTAGTAACTTGTACTCATGTACAAGTTAATTGTTCTAACATATTGTATTACTACTACTACTACTACCACTAGTATTGCTCCTCACTCTGAGCCTATATATACCCTCTGTGTCCATGTACTGTTTGTAACGGCTTGACAAAGCTCCTGGAGAGCGAAACGTTGCCACAATAAAATGTCACATTAGTTGCACTTGTGTCCTTTTACTTTACACAAGGTAAGACTGGTAGGGTGGCGGTGTAAGTGGAGGTAAATCCTGCGAGCTCGCTGGTAAACTGGACAATCCATAAGAAAGTGAAGAACTGAAATAAGGACCCGACAAACCTCACAGAGAGGAATAGGGCGTCGTTCCATGAGATACCTATGGGTAAGGTGAGTATGGCCGATTCAGACAGGAGAGTGCAGCCTAAGTACAGCCTCCCGAGTACAGCAATGGTGGTAAGAAGATGGCCACAAACCTAAAAGCAGTTTAATAGAGTGCAATTTGTTATGGTGCATGTCCAACCACTGTTGTTGCCAAAGGCTGCAAAGACGGGGCAGAGAGAACTGTAAAATAACCCCTGAACAGAATACCTCTGTAGGAAACCGGAAGATCACGTACCACTGACTGTGCAGCAGTATCTGCCTGTTCATTGCCCTGCACATCAACATGTCCAGGGACCCAACAGAAAACGACGTCTTTGTTTTTGCTAGCCACAAGGCACAACCATAGTCGAATACGAAGGACCAGTGGATGAGGGGAAACAAATTGTTGAATGGAACACCACCGCAAACCCAACACCATCAGATTTAGAACCGTCTGTATAAACAGTGATGGCATGAGCATGTGACCAGTAGTGATCAAGAAAAAGAGAGCGAGAAGCAGCCATAGGTAGAAGAGCTTTGACGCAT